TCAGTGATTTCGGTGATCTTACAACTAGACAAATTGGAGTGTTTCTTAAAGCTTTTTCCTTCAGCAACCAATGGAGATCTCGCACATCGCTTCACATTCGAATTTAGTCTGCTCGAAGTTTGGCATTTCTCTCGAAATTCATTCACCTGACGATCTAGTGTCAACAAATGGCGTTCACAATTCCTACAAATCAAACCCTCAATCACCTCTACTTCGCCATATTTCGACAACAACAACTTCAAGTTATGTTTCCCGGTACCTTCGTGGATTTTTTTTGTTCGTGTCCCCACTGTACTACAAACAAAACACGCTTGAGATGAATTACTTATCTTGACCGGCGTACATGTCACAGTGGAGGCAGCCATTTTGTTTGTTGCGAAGTAACCATGTGACCATCATGTGACTGTCATCCATTTTGGCCAGAAATCTGACCAAGATGTCGGCCCGTACCTGACCTTGTTTTTCTTTGAGCCCTCAGCGGTGAAAACTTGGGCAGGGAACCAGACTAGGGGAAATATGGAAATCATTCGCACAGCATTCTGGGCATCATCGCGTTTGTGTCAAAGAATGCGTTTATTCCGGTATTTCGTTTTTACGATTCAGCCGTTGGTGGCGCGTTCAAGAAACCAAGAGAGATACAGTCAGTTTATAACCATAATCCTGGAACTATATACATAATAAACATTGTTCCAGGGTCGCAGAGCTGTGAACAGCGATAGCCTATCCGAGGTTGACCATTTGAAATCTGGAAGATTTGTTTTAAAAAAATCACAATTCGACACCGAGTAAAAACATATGGCATCCAATGCGAAAAAAAAAAAATTGCACTGGTTAAACTCTTCCACATACCTCGTTGAACTCAAATATTCGACCCCTAATTTATGTCTTCGTTTCAGTTATATTACTAAAGAGACAACACATCTTTTATTCATTCTTTTTTCACAAAAACGTCTGATTGAATCAGAGTTTGCCGTTTGTTTTTCACACATGTCTGGCTGATTATTATCTAGCTGGTTGCAATAGTTTGATTCAAAATGTCCAGCCATTCATTGCCGGTTCTTATGATTAAAGTGCTTGGCGTACATGTGCACTTTATTCTAGTATAGCGACAATTTTATCCAGACTCCTCACTTTGTCCTCATCTGTATTTTTGGCATTCCAGAGCTAATCACATTAAAACTTCACAAACATTGGGATATGTATGCATGCCCATTTGTTTTTAAGATCAGATTTAAAATGTTATAAAGTAGTGTATGGATAGATTTTGTTCAAACTTGTATTGAATGCTATGCAACCTTGATACATGTCATTTTGCTTGTTGTATCGGATTTAAAATGGCCAACTGGTCACCATTTTGTTTTAATTAAATTTGGTTCCAGAGCTGTATCTCGGCCATGCTTTGATCGATTATGTTCAAACTTTATGGCCAACAAATGGCTGCTGTTCCAAAAACAGTTGCAGAACTCTGACGTGCTTTGACCAATCATGTTCAAACATCATTTATACATCAATTCAATTCATTGGTTAAAGCAAGGGAGTCGTCACCTGCGCATGCGTCAGATGGCCATAGCATGTCACTGTTTACAAACAAACGTCTACCCATGAGCCTTTGCGTTTTAGCATGCATTGTTATCGCTTGGGGCTTGATTCCTTTGCGTGCGCAGGTGACAACCCCTTCGCTTTAATGTTAAAAATGCAAACACTGCACAATATATATATATATGGCAAATTCTTCAAGATTAATGAACAACTTGGATGAACATTTTATTAAACGCTTTTTTTTTAAAGTGGTTACAGTATCTGAAGTCTCTAATCGGGAAAACTATTCATAAACTACATTTTCAGGCACATTCATGCTCATGTGTTTGTTTTTCAGAATGGTTTTGTTAATCAAAAAAATGCTTTGTTATTGCATGAACACAATTACAGTTTTTCCTAACTGCTATGTTGCAGCGCTAAGCACATGGCTTTGATTATACCATGTTCAATTCTAGCTTTTTTATTAGTTTTCCTACTAACAAATTACAATTTCATTCGTACCAGCAAAGTAATCTAATTAGTTATACCATGGTAACTATAGCTTTTTTGTCAGATCTTCTTTTATGTGAGTCTTCATATGTGAATCCAGCCCAGTTTTTTGTGAGTAACAATTTCCGCAGCGGTCACATTGGTACGGTTTCTCTCCAGTGTGTATTCGCCTGTGTTTCACAAGATTGTCTGTCCATGAGAAAGTTCTATCGCATTCAGGACAGCGAAATGGTTTTTCCCCTGTATGTACCCGCATATGTTTCTTCAGACTGCTTTTAAGTGTGAATTTCTTGTGGCAGTCACCGCACTCAAAATTTTTATCAGTTCTGTGAGTTTGCATGTGTTGGTATAACCGTTTTTTCATTGCACACACGTAACCACACTGTTTGCATTGCATAGGTTTCTCACCAGTATGGATTACTTTGTGCTCAGCGAGCAATTTTGGTGTAGTGAATGACCTTCCGCACTCGTTACACATGTGTCTTTTCTCACAAGCATGTGATCTCACATGTGTGATCAAGAAACATCTGTTTGCAAATCTTTTGTCGCATTCCGTACATACAAATGGTTTGTCACTTAAGTGCGTTTTTCTATGAGACACTAAACTGCCTTTGTTTGATACAACCTTACCACAATCTGGGCATTCAAACTCTCTAAGGGGGCCAATCATCATACTATTTTTTAGGTAGGGTGACTGATCATCCACGCAGCAACAACTACCCTTGCAACCACCCCCGTCATACTTCTGAGGTCGGTGAGTTTTCCGTCGAGTCCAGGTCAGTGTAGGATTTTCTGCAAAACTCTGAGCATAATCATGAAAGTGATCTAGTCTTTCTGCGTCTGTTGAACATGCAGGAAGATTCATGCTTGATTGCTCAATGGAATATTGAATGTGGTCTTGTCTGTTTTCAAATCCAAGAAAGGCATCTTCATGCTGACCAAATGTTTCTGTACCATCTGAATCTACGATCACACCTGTGATTGTTTCTTCTTCGGAACATGTACTGCTCTCTTGTTTGATTTCAACATCCATAAAGACTTGTTGATGCTGAACAACATTTTCTGCATCAGTTGAACCTACTGGAATACCGACACTTGTTTCTTTTTGCTGAGAAGTGTGGCTTTGTATGACTTCACAAAACAATACATTATCATTACATTTTTCGTCAGCAATTGATTCTAAATAAGAACTTGTGTTTGCTTTATCTTTTGATTGTAAGATTCTGTCTTCTTTTTGGAAACCATGTAATTCATTATTACAACATCGGATGTCTTCTTCAGTTTGTATTCCTATGTCAACAAATTTTTTTTCATTTTTTTCAAGGTCCTGGTCATCACCATTATTGGTGACAACACTTGTGATAATGTGTACCTTCCTTAGAGATGATTGGGAATCATTGTTCTGGATTGATGAACTCCCTATAGTATGTGTGACCAATTCAGAATTGGTGAAAATATTCTGTGGATAAACAGTGTTGTGTTGGCAAGGTCTTTCTTCTGCACACGTTCCTGGGTCATTTTTACTGGTAGTCAGTATATTGTGACCAACGAATTGATGACCCAAATTATTGTGTAATACGTTTTTATTGGTGTGCGTCTGGGTGTCAAAATTCCCTCCAAAACTCTGTCCAACTTCAGGTCTTGATGTATCTGATGCCACAAATACGTTAGGGGTGACAATTTTATCACACTGTTGATTTGCAAGCACCTGCGGCTCAATTTTGATGACAACATTCCCCGGCACAGACAGGCAACCATCTTTTCGCTGGGATGGTTTTTCCACGGTATGTGTGCTCATTCCTGAATTGGTGGTGGGACTGTTGTTTAACCAACTGCCACCAATATTGGGTTGGTATGATATTTCTTTCGAACATGGTGGCATTCCTTTAAGTGGACGTGAATTATCAAAGCTCCGCTCACTTTCTTGGCATTCTCGTGTCATACTCATCTTTGCTATTGCAAATATAGCTGTAGCTAACAATGTTTTATTTTTTATGTATACAAACTACATACAGTACAAACTGGTACTCTTCAAACTATATAATTCATATATAGTTCTTGCGTAGTTCTCAGTCACTATTGTTTTCTTGTTTAATTCACCAGTTTGCTTTTCTTTATGCAGGTCCTTTCATTCATATGTTGAATATTGCTTCTGAAATCAATGGACTTCACGCTAAAAAAATGAAAAATTATATAAATTAATCATATAATAAATAAAACTCAGATATTAAAGTGAAAAGATATATGGAGTAAACTATGCAGGGAAAAACTAAATTATTTAAAAGAAATCATTAACCAGCTCTGAGGTAATACGTTCAACCTTATATGGTAAACGCGCATCATATTTTAAACACATTTGAACATTTTTCTTTGTTTAGATACAGAAACAATATTTAGCGCATGACAGGATTAGAATCACATCAAAATGCAAACAATCAAAAATCTTGTTTTGCTGGCATTTCAGACTGTTATATTTTAAAGGGGAAGTCCGGGCAAACAACACAATGTTCCCGGATAAAAAAGCGCCATAAATGTAGAAGAATACAATCTACGTTTTTTTTATATTACTTTTTCATTGCCTTCTCCTACATTTGTGGGATTCTTTCATCTGAAACTATTATGTTGTTTGCTCTGACTTCCTGTTTAACACATCGCCTACTGACACTTCCCATTCATTCAAATTATGACTGCCATAATAAATAGTTCGGTCACTGGTAGCATAGTGGTTGTCGCATCAGACTCATGATCGATAGACCCAAGTTCAAATCCTACCTTAGGCAGAATATTAAAAAGGGTTAACTCCCTACCCTGTGTGAGTGTGCAACAGACTCACTGGCCAAGATTCATTCACTAACAAATGCAACTTTGGGGGAACCTTGGTTAAGGTCCGCAGGTGCTTGTGTTCGACCAGACCTGGTTGACACCAGGATAACACATTAAAATTGCCATTTGACAGAGAGATGGCTGCACAGCCCTGTCATGTTATCCCAAACATGAACATGACTCTTGTGGCAAAAATGTGTCATCACTAGCACTTGCACATACAAAAAAAGTCAAAAGAGACAACAGTGACATTCAATGTCAGGAACTAGCATAGCCTAGCATAAAAACATTATTTAAAAAAAAAAAATATTCTTTTGGGAGGGGGGGGGGGGGGAGGCAGTGCATGTGAATGGTTGCTTTAAAGTCCATGTATTGTGCAATCTGGATCAGTCTTTTGCATTTCCATGGAATTTGAAATCCCAATATACCATATTTCCTTCAAGTTAAAAGCCAACTCATATTTGTAGAGAAAGTTGTCGACAAATCACATGACATTGTTGGTTTATTATGTACTGGTACAACCCATTGAGAATGTCACAGCCCCCTCTGTTCATGTACATTACAGTAATACATGACTAATGAAATGTCAGCATTTATACGCTCCTTTTTGATCAAGTACATGTACCAGTTCTACAGTGAACTAATGTCTTGGACTGCCAGACAATTTAACATGTGCGGGTCTCTAATGTCCATGTTGGCAAAATGTAAAACATGTATCACAATTCAGAATTATAGTGCATTGTGGGATAGTTACATCAGATTGCGGGAGCAAACAACTAAATATAACACATGCTTAAAAATTGCAGAGGTGTATCTCAACATGCAACAAATGCAATTTTGGGTTTATGTGTGCTTGTATTGGGGATGCACTTCTGATTGACCAGATACGTTCTAGACAATTTGACCTTTGCAGCTGTGTAAGAATTTTAAGAATTTACCAACAATTAGGTGTGCTACAAGTAACTGAATGTCTTAGTGTTTACCTCAAATAGTTTTTGAATATATAATGAGCAACTTTGAAACAATATTACTCGCTGCTGCAGATTTTGCAAAGGTTTCCAATATTTTTTTCTGAGAGAGCATATCGCTGTGTTTCGAGCGATCAAACCACTTTGTGTGTTACCCGTTTTGTTTTCGTGTTCTGGGGTACCGAAACATGGGATAGCTAGTGTCATGTACATGATATCTCTCAGCGTAATCCGGTTAACGTTAAAAACTGGAGGTCAGGGTTCTGCCCATGCTGGTCGGCGGCGGTCACTAGCGACCCGCACTCAGAATTTCCGACCAGGACAAAAAGTTGGCGACCAGCACTATTTGTTTATGATACACACAGGATGTCGGCCACTGGACCATCATCCTATTGTCCTTGTTGATTTTAACACACAACACAATGCAAAAAATTAACACACAACAAAACTTGAAAGAAGATACCGCTGTTCAAAATCAACGTACACGTGTGACATCGGCCCACTCTCCACACAGAGGGCCCTCACTCCCAGCATGCTTCACACTCGCGCGTGTGTTATTTTTGTCGCGTTTGACTTCATAGTATGCGATCTACGCATTGTTCAGTGACTGTTTCAATGGTCTATTGTGTGTCAGTATTGTTGCTATTTAGAGTTTCACTGATTTTGTTTGACTTCTGTCATAGTTTTGTATATAAATAGCCCACTATATTTCTATTTATTCTTAATTTCAGGAAATTGAAAACAAGATCGCTCAGAGGTTGCCATCTAAGACTGCTAAGTTCTTCAGAGAAATTGTCATTATCTTCGTCAATGTCCTCGTCAAAATGTTCTCCTAAAATAGCTTCCCAGTCATAATTATCATCCTCAGATTTGCCAAATTTCGCCGTGAATGCCATTTTCAAAGTTCATTGCAGTTCACTGACAACTACTGTCGTCTATGCCACTTTTCTGTGTTTATGTCTCGCGATGCATCGCGATAGTTGGTTGTAATATGAATAGATCTCGCGTTACTTTGTGAGATCTAATGATAATCTTGTTGCTCCGCAACTTTTACTCGGTACGATAAGAACTGATAACTTAAACAAACGTGGCACGCATGACTTCAAAAGAAGATGCCGTGTTGAGAGTCTGTTGTATTACTAGTCTGAGGATACAGTAACTAATTTTGTTGGAAATATAACAGCGACTTTGACAAAATTTAGTCACTGCCACACCACCCATATGAAAAAAGTGACTGAATTGTAATAATTTCCATTGGCGAAAGCTTCAACGGTTAAGGAGACTGGTGTACATTTCATAAATTTATGGTTGCACTGATAATCTAATTTGTGGGACACCATTAAATTATGAAAAAGATTAATCTTTTAAAAAATGCTTTTGAAATTTAGAGAGCTTCGAAAATTAATTAGGGGGCTAAGATTCTAGTGGCATGGCATGATATTGCTTGTGTTGTGTGCTTTTCAAAACAATGAAATCATAATCCCTGATATCAGGATTGGCATCCAAAGTAAGATTCTTGGTGTACCAGGGTATTATGGGGGAAAAGTGGGTCAACTAAATTACAAATGTCAGAATATAGATACCATAATGGACTGGTGACAGAGCTTCTATAGAACAATTATTAATTTGGATCACTTTGACATCATTATCAGCAATTTTGGGTTTACAAACTTGCCTATACTATACTGCTCAGATTGCTAACGTGGTACATGTACATGTAATTGCTTGCTTACATACAACAGTCATTGTTTATGCATAAACTCTTGAAACAATTAATTAAAGCCCATTTGTTAAGCATCTTTAGGGTGCCAACTGCCTGTCTGTGAAAATATTAATATAGGGTATCAAGTAAATACAGAAAGCCTGCTTAGAAACAGATAACAGAGTACTGTAAAATACTTTATTTTAGTTAGAATTAAATTACGCTGGAAAGACTGAATCATTCCTTCAGCGAAAATAACGAAAATTAACTCCAAGCAAAAATAAAGTATTCTACAGTAGTTAATTACAGTAACTGTTACATAACTGATTGAGAAGAGTTTATTTACAAGGGATATCTACGTTTCTTCACTGCCCTGGAATCAAACTAGGTTTTCAAAGAAATCATCCTGAATTTGGCATACATGTACAAACTTTATTATTGGCTATTATAACACAATGCTGTGTATATGATTACAGAGTGTTGAAGTCAGAAACAAATGTACAAATGCAGTTTGGGAGGCCCAAACCAGTCTGAACTACATTATACTGTTCGTAAACCAACAACCATTATATAACTAATAAACACCTCAGGAATTAACATTTCAGTTTACTCAAACTATTTATGACAATTAGCACGTTGAATACATTACATCATTATTCCCACTACCTAATGGAACTAGAACAAAGACAACCTTAAAGGGGAACTGCTCAATCCCATGGATTGCACTAACGAATCATGGGACACTATTGTTTATGTTGTTTACAATGTTAATCTATCTTTTGTTATCCATTGCTATTTTAATCCAGGAAGTAAATATGTTGTGGGATTAGGCTTGACTGGAAAGTGCCCCTTTAAAGATGTTTAACTGCCTAGAGCACGCCATTTTACAAGTACTTTTAGTTTTGCATGCATTTGTAAACTTTTTGTGTAAAATAAAGCTTATATATTAAGATGATGTAGTCCGGCAGACAAGGTGACCAGCCTGTATTTGGAGTCTAAACAAAATGTTTAAAGGATTTTGGTTTCTGATTCGCAATGTTTGACTACTGCCAAGACAGATATTTGACAAATACTGTAGCTTTTGTGTTTAATACTGTACCAGTATTACTTAACACATGTCAAAGGCCTCAAAAAAATTGTTGGCTTCCAGCCAAGTAATCTTCACACATTTGCTCTGCTGATCAATAATGTTAGGTTACTTAGTCGCTTCATTGCTGTGACTGTTTTATCTTTTTCAATATAAGGAGTTGTTATTTTATTTGTGCTTGTTATATTAAATATTAATGATGTATTGGGGTGATCAATAAATTATTTCTTTCAAAAAGGAATATTTCATGACTCGACTTTCTGTGTTTTAAAACTCAGTTTCACTGTAAGTTAAATGGGTCGGTATCCTGGTGTATTATTATCAATCTGTGGATTGGAAATCATTACAAATGTTGTGACACACAAAACGTACGCGGAGTTGATTGAGAACGCAAACCAATATTTACATAGCTATACCTGCATAATTCTGCCCATGGCACTTTGCGAAGGAGTTTTTCACATTTCCTAGTCTGTCAAAAACCCCAACAGACAAGGGGAATCATTGGTCCATTCAAGATATGCTAAGAGTTGCAGTTTGACCTCAAAATATCGTAACTTGCATATTTCTTGAAGCACTCGGCCATGCGATGCTACTGTCTTGGGTTAGATAACATACTAACTTTATTAGTTCAGCGGTTAGATAAATGTACTTTATTTATTAAATGCTTGTGATAACCAAAATTTGGGTTGTAAAGCTTTTCGATGACGGAAAATCTGTGATAACACTGCAGTAAGGAAGAGCATCTTAAAAACATATTTATAGAGTACATACTCATAACAGCACATTCATATTTTAGTAAATTTCTCTGTTTATTTAATTGTAGATGAAGCAATTAACAGCACATTCATATTTTAGTAAATTTCTCTGTTTATTTAATTTTAGATGAAGCAATTACACTGTAGTCTGTAGTTCAATGGAGGTCAAAAATATGCATTCGTCTACCCTTACTAAATTTGCAATCGAGAGGATGAGAGGTTTGTGACGAAAATACCTCTATTCAGGGATTTTTTTAAACAAGGGAACAGGCCCGGGGGGCACAGTTGTCCTCACGACATGGCTATGCACCCCTTACCCTGGGGAGCAGATCCTCTTGGCAACCATAAAATTCTTGATGGGATCACATGAGGCCACAGTCTTCAACTGTGACCTGCCTAATAGTAATTTTGGTTCCAAGGAAGCCATAAAATGCTCCATTTTAACTTAGAAATATTAAAAACTTCTCACCCTGGTAGGGAGAACCTTATTTCCCCCACTTGGTGGCGCCGCTGAATTTCAGTGCTCCCTCTCTCTTGCAGTTTTTTTCTAGAAAAATCCCAGTCCATTCACACATGAAATACAAACACAAGTGAAGGTCACACCAATTCAAAAGTGGAGCAGTTAAAAAAAATTGCTCAAGCGAGAAGGTTTTTTTTCTAAAAATGAAAAAAAAAAAAAAAAAAAACCTGCGAAGCCAGGAATGTTGCTGTCCCCACCCATGACTTCAAATGGGACACTCCCGAAGAATGAGCATAAACGAGAGATCAGTGTTTATTTTGAAGCCGGCATTGTTACCTCGAAACGTTTCATTCGCCATGTTTTTTTTATACGTGTTTGCGGCTGTGGTGTGGGCGGTTGTGGGACTCACTGGCGTCCACAGGCTCTTTGTACTGTGTGTCTGGAGGAAGAGAATGTTGGAGAGAGGGGTCTCTTACACGCTACAGCCACCACACCTAGCCTGCGACTAGCATTTTAGTAACGTATCTCGTAATTCTTAAATCAACAGTACAACGCACACAACATACTAGTTACTCTTACTGCAGTGTCAGTGATCCGTTAGGGACAGTCCGCCGTGATATGTTACGTACAGCGTCAATACATCAATGAAAATCATAGTATACTGCAAGGCAATGTCTTACTCACCTTGAAGAGGAAACATACAAGTAATGGAGTTCAAGTTTCAGCGCAAAAACGCACAACACGGTCGTTGGGTTTTTCAATACGTACAACAGTGCACGCGAGGGAGGAGTCAACTGACGCTAATTAACATGTTGAGGGCGCTGTAACAATTTTTCTGAATAAAGTCGCAAGCTTATGTGGCTGTCAATCAGGATTTGGCCACGGGAAAAGGTGCCTTTAGGATTAAACCGTCAACTGCGATTCATTTTTCGTTGTGTACTCAAAGGCTCACATGCTAGAAGCTATGTGGATTATAGGTGTGGCCTTTTCAATTTCAATGTTGAATCACGTGCATTTTCATTGCCAACAGTGTCGATCTTGTATATACTGCAGTTACATAGTTAAACCACGTGAATCATCGTGAAAGAGCTACCTTTTATATTATATAGTATTATATTATCTTATTATCAAAATTAAAAACAATTGATGAGAAATTAAAATTTAAAAATAAACTAAACACCAACCATGAAGCAATAATAAAATAGAACTAGAAAACTTATAAAGGGGAACCGCTCAATCCCATGGATTGCACCAAAGAATCATGGGACACTATTGTTTATGTTATTTACAAAGTTAATCTATCTTTTTTTATCCAGAGATTAGGCTCAGGGGCACCTCCCTGCCCCGTCCCTACCCAGCTATGTATGACTGCCCCCCCCCCCCGGCGTCTTCCGACCACTCGCGAGATGACTATAAGTATGAGCCCAGGTCATTTTCATTTAGATGTCTTTTAACGGCGACAGACATTTTTCGGCGGCCAGGTTTTTTTTTTCATTTTCAGAACTCCCTCCCATGATTACATTATGTTATTACTAGTAGCTTCGCGACGAGTGACTTTCGTGGTTAGTGGCTTTCGCAGTAACTGGTCCTTTTATCAGAGTTGAGAATTAATGTTTTATGTGTCTTTAACAACTGGTGCAAATCTGGGAATACCACTCTAGTAGCTGTTAATTTGCCCTTATGATTTATGAAGTTACTCTGGCAGGAGTTCCTAAAGCAAGGCTGACACTTGCTCGGATCTGTGGCACGCAGTGGCAGTGCGCAAACTAGTCGTAAACTGGCGTGAAGTGTATGTAAAGCAAGGCTGACACTTGCATGACTTTTGGTCATGATCTTGTCGTGCCATTTCGTGCCATTTTGGGGCACGAACTGGGAGGCTGGTTCACGCATAGTTCACGACGAGTTCACCGATAGTTTGCGCATAGTTTACGCACTTCCCACATTGGCACGACGAGTTTGCGATATGTAAATGTATGGAAGACCCACAACTAGATTGTTGGGAATAAACCAAAATTACTCACCAAATGCATCGCGCACAGTAAATATGGACCAAAGATAAATAAAAGTACTCAATATTATGTTTCATAATCCGAAATTTGTTCAAAATTTTTTTCCTTGTGCCCCCCTTGCTACCTTAAAATCGATAATTATTAATATTAAATCTATAGGATATTGTTCACTTGGTATAGATCAAACTGTAATTATAAATATTAATAAAAAGAATTAAAAGTAAAAGTTAAGGAAATAATGGATCATTTTGAAGAATCCTTCGTTTAAGGTATCATGGCAGCTACCACTCTACTAAGAACTTGAAAATATGCACACACTATAAAAAGGCGACAAATACCAGTTATTGCACACGCACACAAACGCGCAAACAAGTGCGACGGTCTATACTCCAGAACGGGCTCTTCAAATAGTGCCATTCGCATTTTGAATTCTGACCTGTTCTATATTTTTATTATACGTCACCGAGCAAAAAGTTTGAGATAATTAGATTAATCCTTGCAATGGGAAACACTAGTAAACGTACTAATAACTTGTATATAGAGGCTGCATCGTGAAGCTGCAAACGGTGCGCTCAATAACATAATGAGAAAGATGCAATTTAGTGACGCTGCCTCTCGCTCAGGCTGCTAATCACCTTTTGTCGAGAAAAAAAAAAACATGACAGAACACTTATGAAACGAGTTTTGATGATTTTGTTTAATATTTTTATCGGAAGAGTACATATCCAATACATCAGTGATGCAAAAACGTGAGTTTTTGCTTCAGATTTTGCGAAAGCTGGAAAACCCCGTTGCAAAACTTTCACTTTACTTTGTTTCCTATTTTGGGGCGGACATCCGGGCATTTTCACCGCCTGGCAACCATCACAGTGAAAACAAACGTACTTTGGGATAGTTGTCGGGACTCTCCTGAACAGTGTAACAATATTACCCCTACACATGCAACTAATATAAATTTAGTTGCTCAGGATTACTTCAAAGTTGAGTTTGTGCTGTTTTCTTGACTTTAGCCGCGGCTGTTTTCACCGGCTCTTCGACCGGCGTTCCACAGCAGCTTGCACAGAGCATGTTTATACACAGAGCCAATAGAAATACAAGCGGTGTAGTAGAAAGTTCTGTGACGTAGCTCCGCCCCGAGATACTGTGCATGCAGCCTCCCAAGTGGTGATTTATTTGGCTCATCACCGAAAAGACGATTCAAATAATTTCTTCAATAGCATTCGTCACCTGCGCATGCGTCAGTTGCCCATAGCGTGTCATTGTTTGCAAACAATCGTCTACCCATGAGCCTTTGCGTTTTTAGCGTGTGTTGTCATCAACTCTTGGGACTCAATTCCCGCGCGTGCGCAGGTGACGACCCTCCCGCTTTAATCATTAGAAACATAACAAAGCATATATTGCATGCATTATTTCAACCTGAGACTCGTTAACGGATGTTTATGACTAAACGCTACGGATGTGTTCGACACCATGTAAACGCACGAGGCTAATGTTCACCACATCGTCGACGTTTATAACCGTTATTTTATTTAATTTATTAACGCACAACATCCCCCGGGGGATGAAAAGGGTTACAAATCAGATATTAGTATAAGAAAAATAACTATATAAAAAGTAAAGAAACAAAAAAGCATAAATAAAAGGAAATGATAAAAAATTGTACACACTCAATGTGTTACTGGCTTAGTTTATGTAGGTGCTGCTGTCTTATATTAAAACAGTTTTTTAAATATTGTGCTAAAGGAATTGACATTTTCTCGTCACTTAGTAATGATATGAATTTATTTTCATTACTAAATTTGGCAAAATTTGGTATACATTTATTAGTTACAATGTAAAGTTTTAATCTTATTTCATTGTAATAAGGACAATTTATGACAAAATGTTCATCTTCAACATAACCATTGTCGCACATATTGCAGACTCTGTCTTTAAAATCCAATCATGTATGCCGGTCTGTTTCAATTTTCAGACAGTGGTTGCCAAATCTAGATTTTGTTAAGGATTTGCGAAGTTCACTGTTTTTCATAATTGTTAAGTAGTTTTCTTGTTCTATTTTGTTTTTTAAAAGTTTGTAGGTTCTTAGTTTTTTTTTAGAATTTGATTTGATTCACCACTAAACACGCTCCAACTTGTGCGAATACCTATACTAATTGTTTGTGTTCTATTATATATTTGCAAAAAAATCGTTAAAAATCTCTGGCAAATCTTCTTCTTTGTAATCCAATACTGTGACGTTATCTTCGCGATGTGCACCCCGAATCATACAGGACAACCCTAATAAATAATCAAAGAGTGAAACAAAACACGAGACAAATGATTACAAACATACAGTGTTAGTGGATTGTTAGTCTGAACGAATCGAGAGAACATCACTGGAAGGTAAAGGGGTAGTACTGAATAACATATGTGAACATCGGTGTAATTTTAGTCCTAATATTCGAAACCTAAGGGGGCCACCAGGGGCGGATCCAGCAAAATGTGATAGGGGGGTCCAAGCTTCGCTTAAAATTTACGGAACGTAAATCGCAAAGAAGCTATGCGTAATCCAGATGATATGAATAATCGTGTGACCGCCACTGGGAACCACATGCAGCATTGTCTCAATTGATTTTAAAGGTAAACTTACATTTACTTGTAAATGGTCTGTACAGACAGAGCACTCTCTTCCTCATAGCCACAGCTCTACCAATCTCATAGCCAACTCCGTGCGATGGCTGCGTTACTTCAGCTACCACAACTAGAATTGAAAAGTTTGCTATTTTGAATAAGTATAATAACAGCGTTATTAACAAAACAAATTATAAAACAATATCCACAATATTTTGTCTAATAAATGAACAGGTTTAAATAAACGTCCCCAATAAATAAAAACGCCAGACGATATTTCAATACTATGGCTTGGAATGAGTTATTTATCAGGACTAAGAAATTGTCACCTTCATGGTTTCAAACCGTATTAATCCTGATATGGTCAATCTGCATATAAACGAATAACATAATATCAATATGAATGTGTACTAAACTGACTAATCTATATGAATAAACAACAACAATGTATATACCATCGGAAATGTTCAGCCACTCCATATCTTGATCATAAATGCTTTGTGCGTTACATATCATATCCTCTATAAGGAAAGAACAAAACAATACAATAATGTATTTATTTAAATGTGTCATGAAAATAGTTCAGAGTCGTAACAAAAATACTCACTGAAATCAGAATCATTGTATGACATGTATTCGATTTTATTTTATACATTTAATTTTTATTATTGTTTTATTATTAGTTTTTTATTAAGTACATCTTTTTTTCTATTACTTTAACTTTCGTTCTTTCACGATTACCAAAAGTGTTAAAAAACTGCCAGCAAATAACAAATTTAAATGAAATAAAATAAAATAAAGTATATGATGAAATAAATATTTGGAAATGTATTTTTAAAAAATAAGAACAAAAATCAAATTGTCTATACACTACAGTTTATGCTTAAACCTTATAAAGATATCTTACAGCTCTATGTACATATTACTTACACTAAAATACAATGATGAGATATAAGCATATGAAACATACCAATTCAAACTAAGTGGACATTTTACGCGTTTATGTTACCAAAGCCATAACTATCATTCAAATTAGCAAACACATTTGGGGACTAATACCAATCGACTTAGCAATTATATTTGCCTTTTTCGACAGTAAAAATTATGCCACACCTTTTTCAATACCAGCATGTCCAACAATTTCTGTCAGTACCTCGCCATATCCCTGTAGTAGTTTGATAATTCTTGCATAGAGATCGGCATCTTGGCGGCCGCCTTGAATGCTTCCACAAAAGTATATACTGCGACCCATTCTCCTATAATAACAATATTTATGGGCATAAATCGTGATGATATAATCTCAAATACTCAGTGTAGTTTATATACTGACTTCCAAAATATGCTGAATCTATAAATATATACCCAAATGCATCTATATACGTGTTACCAGCCTTGATTGACACGAGGTCACTTCATATTGGAAAAATTAGCATGTCATGGATAATAATCCCAAACCATATATCACATGGGGTGAGAATACCGCCAAAATTAGCTTGGTGCCATTATTTGAACATTGTTTAGTTGTTTGGTCTTTATTTGGAAACTCTTGGTTGTTATTTAGTCATTATTCGGTTATTTGGTATTTATTTAAACATTATTTTACGCTTATTCCATTATTGTGTTATCGTATTGCTATTGTTTCATTATTTCAACTTTATTTCTTAATTATTTCATTATTGTGTAATTGCTACAATATTATTTTGTCATTGTTTCATTATGTTATAATTGTGTCGTTATTTAGACATTATCTTGAAGAAGAAGTGAATTATATTTGAGTTAGGCCTGAGCCCGATTTGTTTTGTAAATATTGAGTTAATGGCCGAATATGCAAAACTGGTTGAATTAAATACCTAAAGACTTTAATTTCTTATGGAACTTAATATTTCAACTACTGGAGGAGTTACTTGAGGTGTTAGTGAACTTGACAGATAGACGTGGTGAACTTTTATCTTTTATGTCGACAGTTTTGCTTCTTCAATGAGACTAAAGAGTAATAATAAGACAACCGATGGGTTTATAGCCAGGAGATATTATTGATGACATGTGTGCACCCTGTGCTGTCGTTGTGTATTTGTTTGTATGCCGTAATTGTCAAATATAGTGACTGTACACAACTACACCTATTAATTGTGGCAGGGGGTTACAGCGTCACCAAGTGTCCTTTGAGTCAGTTTGAGTGAAATGTTTGATGCATTTTTATGCTAATGAAGGTAATCGGAGAAATGTGCTTCGCGGGATTGCTGTGCCGGAAATCTGATAGTCTAAATGAAATCTGTGAAAGGATCGTTGGGTTTGCAGGCATCGTGCAAAGCAAAAATATGTCAGCATGCTTCAATGAAAGTGTGTACCTAACTTCATTGTGAACAGTGAAGCCATTTAATGCGTTATCTCAATTTCTGCAGTTTGAATCAACGTTGCTAATGTATGAACATGGAAGGTACTAACGTTAGTAGTATGTCGAATGTACTAACGTTAGTACCTGGTATGAACAAGTTGACTCCATGGTTTGCGTCTTGATCATCAATGCAGTAAATCGACAACTCAAGTACTAGTACTAGTACTCGCTATCTCCGGATTCTCGCTGTGCCTGTTGATGATTTTCGTGAACTTAATAAATGATATTGAAAAATTTGATCAATGACCAATATACTTAATTTACCTTTATTTAGTTTGTACTTCATCCATAATGTTAATTTGATACCCATCATTACAATAGTGGCACGTTGTGATACGTCAGACGTACATATTTGCATATTCATGTAATGTGCATTTTGTGGTATTATTCAGATCCATAAAATTCGGCAAAGCCCAGCAAAATTTTCCAAGTCTTTTTTTAGTACAGTTTCGGTATTTTCGGCATTATTTACACGGATGGCCTTACGGGGGAACATGCAAAACGAATTCGAAATTACGGAGAAGGAAACAAATGTTGCCAAAAAAGCACCGGGATCTCGTGGAGCGTTATTCCAACGAACCTCGGAGAGAGGCTGGTGAGCAGTGACACCCCGAGCACGCATACGACTGACATTGTGCCTGTATATAACATTTTCATACAGCTACCTCACCGCTTCTCATTACCAACCTGACACTGACTATAATTACTATAGGACGCAGAAATACAATTACAATTCACTTATAAACAAGTACCGTTTCCATTGTTGACTGGCATATCATACCCGATGGTGTCACCAATGCCAAGTGTACCGTACATCTCCATCACCACCACTTGCAACCGAACCGATTAACCCACCAGTGCCATCGACCGAAAACTTGTTTGTTTAATGATCTATAAATAATACTAAGCTATTCGTTATATTACATTAACTATCATGAGTATTACTGGTCGCTATTTTTATATTAAATATTATTTTTAAACATTCAACGTTACCAATTTTCAATGCTTTGTGTGTTTGTCAATAGACATTAGCCATGGACAGTGTGTATGTCCATAAAGTTGCTAATATTTGCAGTTGGTCTTCGATTGACCACACATGTTTGTGTCTTGGTACTGCAATAATATATTAATACTCGTGACATTGTACTGTTGTAAAAAATGCATAATAATGTTTCACCTTTTTAAAAAAAAACATGATTGACAACGTACATGTTGTATACACCTACCAATGAACAACATAAACTGGCTTTTGGTGAAAATCTGGGTTTCCAGTTAATTTATGCCGCCTGTGCTTTATTTGGTTATTCATGTGACAATATGCGCTAAATTAAAACCCAGTGAATATTTAAAATTGAGCATAGAACACATTATCTAAATGATAAAACCGTGAAATTAAAACCCACTGATTATGCCTGAAATGCTAAATCAGTGAAATTTAAACCCAGTGAAAATTAGTCATTTTACAGTATTTTGATGTTCCCAAAATATGTACAATTGATGCAAAAAACATTCCACATTGCAGTGATACAACAAAACATGAATCTGAATATATCATAATATAATTCGTATCTCTCTGACTGGTTTTAGGCCTGGTATGTAATGTTAAATGAAACTCATTTTCTATGCCAATAGCTTTATGACATCTCTAAATTAGCATAAAAAAACATAAAATAGCCAACTTACAGATGAATCAGAGTCTTGAGAGTACTTTATCGGTCTCGTGGCCTTGTGATACGAGAGACCGGTTTCTGATGCTAAAATAAAATATGCATTTTTATTTCTGAATTATTGTAGTTACCAGTAGAAATCCGAAAATGTGACTATTAAAATGATAAACCACGCAAAATGCCC